CAAAGGCTCCAGACCTGCCAGCAAAACATGCGCAAACACCTTCCCTGGAACAGAGAGCAACGTGCACGCTGTAAAACATGGACACTACGCCTCTCAGACTGGACAAAGCTGGAGGCTTTTCACACAAAATGTCAGCATTGTATATTGGGCATAAAATGGAATGACTTAATCTGTAATGCAGATGTTTATGGTTGCTCAGGTCTACAGACTACTGGGGCTTTTCGGACACGTTGCAAGGATGCCACAAAACATTCCAGCGAATGCTGTTCTCCGGGTAGCTTGTAACATCCAGGATAAAATTCCACCAAACAAGGGGTGGAGGTGGCCCAGAGGAAGACCCCCTATTACACGGGTTCATCAAATCTGTTCCGATGTTGGACTCTCAGGCCGTCACGCCTTTGCAATTGCGCAGGAACAGACCAAATGGCGAACGATTGCTATGGCTGGCTAAGTGTTAAAGTAGAAGACTACAGTAGTCACAGGACAGTGTCTTTGTCTGAACCACAAGTCTTTGCAATAAAGAATGTGATCTCCCCAAACAGTCTAAAGGGACACACATCCACACACACACGAGAAAACCCCATTGCTGAAAAGGCACTAAAGCCACAGAAACCCAGAGAGCAGGCATGGAGACAGTTAAGGGCATCACTAGCAGGTACCTATGGCAGTCTGTGTGCTCTAACACAGCTAGACACCCAGCTCCTGGGATTTCCAAACCCTCTCTGCTCTATGTTGCTGTGTTCTCTTGGAACCGCTCCTCTCCTCGGGCCATGACCCAACTGAAATCATTTAGAGCTGGGCAAAGAGGGTGTTAAATGCCACCAAGCTGATTCAGTAGCCATACTCTGCTTTGAAAATTCACAATTGACCACATGGTCTGCAAAACATCCAAAGGGGGCATGTTGAAAAAACACCTTCCCACCCCCTCCCCAGACTTTACTTGCCTTTATCATCCAGAGCGCCAAGATCTGGACTGAAAGGGTTTTACAGCATGAGATGGAGCAATAGATAGAAGCATCCTGGTCTAGCATGTGGCAAAGCTTTCTGGAAAGCCTAAACACTGTTCCTTTCCTGCCCCCCCAGTTTCCTCTCCTGCGGTGCAGATCGCACTGACGTCGCTACCCATCGTTCTCATGTGGGAGAGAACGTGGGAGCTGCTGGGTCATGGGTGGGCAAGTCTGCAAGAAGCACAACAGCTCTGTAGCTCTGAAAAGGTCTGTGCCCATAAACCTCAACACTGAAAAGGCCAGAGGATGCAACATGGACTGTGCAGATTCCAAAGGAACATTTGAAATATGTTTTAGAACTAGTTTTTCACTGTTTACTTTTCCTGTTCATAAAACCACGTGAGAAGCTGGAAATCGTAAGGCCAGGCTGAAATCGGGATGCCCCAAGTTAGGCTGAACAGTCACAGCTCTCACTAGCACCAACAGAAATGGAGAGTGCTCGAATGGCACAAGAATGCCAAGACAACTCAACAGTCTGAGTTAAGAGTTTTTGAGGGTCCAATGTCAGGGGACTAGAGGGGAGAAGTCTTCTGCACTTGTAGGTTTGTTTCATTATATACAACACCAGGGTGGGGAGTGAGGAGATGGGGGCTGTGAATTATTTTATTATTTTCTTAATGCCTGAGCATTGCTATTCATTATTCTGTGTGTTTAATCTAAGCTCTGTGTCACATAGACAGAGTTATGTTAAAAGATACATTTGGATGGATAATATAATACAAGTGTAACTTAGACTAATGAGAATGCAGGTCTCCAATTGCTGTAGGATGGATGGGTATTACCTTTTATAAAAATTTGATTTAAAAAAAGAAAGATGCAACTCCATGACTCAGAGGCAAATGTAGAACTAGAGCATCTAATTAAAACTTCCATGGTTGAAAGTTTGCACTGTGGCCTGAAAGGAGGATCAAGGGCTTTCAAAACCAACTCTGGACAAGAGGTCAGCACATAGAATATGGGAATTACCAGTTTATTCACAAGGCTGTTTTTCAAAGGACATAACATGCAATTCTCAAGTGCGAAGTCTCCACCTTCCCATTGCACTGTCGGTTATTGAATCACTTGGGGATAGTCATGAACAGACCCACAGCAGCATTGCCTCTGCCTATCATTTTGTACTACACCCATAAGCTTGGTACCTGAGCGTTTTAAAAAGCCATAGCTCTGACACTTTAAACGTAGCTGGTGGTTCTCCTTTCACAATCAGCCCAGTGACAGGTCTCTGTGGGGTTCTAGGAATGCAGAAACACAGGAAGAGCCAGCCCAGTTCAGAGCAGGCACCCAGCGAGCCCCATCTCACATGGTGGCTGGTGAAGGCACCAGCGACCCTGCTGGGGCTGTTCTGAGATAAACTGCCCTCCTAACTCCCCGTAGTTGCAGGTTGGCTTATGGCAGGTAGTATTAGAACAATCATCTAAGATACAGCAATGGAGACATTCCCGTAAGATTTCTTTACTAACAGTTACAATTACAGTGCAGCCAGGGACACCGCAAACTGGAAATAAGTGCAGGGAGCTAGACCAAGGCCACCCCTCTTACAAGCAGTGCCTCACAGGATCACTTTATTTATACCAGGGTCCCTCTGGCACTGCAGAGGGGCCTTACTGTAAATGGGAATCAGGAGCTTACTGTTCATGCAGAGCAGCTAAGATCTTGGGCCAATCTTTTCAAATGTGCATGCCTAAAGTCAGGCACCAATGGGAGCTGCATGGGCTAAGCCCATCTGAAAACGAGACCACTTATCCACCAGCTCAGTAGCTAACTTTAGGCTTGCAAGTTAGAAAATTTTGGCCCTGGTTTAAGGTTTCTGCTACTATCTCAATTGAATTTATGTCATTAACCTTCCCTCCCACCACAGTTTCAAGGTGCCCAGATCCAACTCTGGCTGCAAAGGGGGTCTGTTCAAAAGCTCCCTTGGAGTTGGGCTCTTGAGCTGTAGCATGCACTGCATACAAGCAAGGTGAGCCCTGGATGATCCTTTTCACTTCTGCTCCCCATGTAGCATTCACACCCATATGCTGTGCACAAGAGCAACTGTCAAATGACTAATTGTGATTCCCTGAGCAACCTGTATTCAGGAAACTCAACTGATGTCTATGACTAGCACGTATGTATGTTTATATCAGCCAAAACAAATATTGCCTCTGTGTATGATTTACAGGGCACAATGGAAAGCTTCTCACAGAGAAATACTACAGGAAAGACCTGATGTACAGTCAATGTGATTTTTCTTTCCTGAATTACCTCTGTTGGGCATGCACTTTCCGTGGCAGAAAGAAGCCAGGCTTTGCAACTACATTAAAACATGTCCCAAGACACAAAGAAAGAAAAAGGTTTTTGAGCCATTGCTTTACTGACCCCATAATCCTCTAAGCCCTGGCTGTCTCCTTGCTAGCCTTAGACAACTGCCCTCCGCCTAGCCCAGGTGTTCTCGCCTTGTTAAAAATAACACTAGACTTCTATTGCTCACAGCTGCTTGATACTGAGCAACAACAGGCGAGAACTGAAAATACTTGCTACCCTCTTAGAGGGGCAGCGGTGTCTTGCAGAGTTTGGCCTCCTAGGGTTCTCCCTTTCAGTTGGCCCTGCTCACAACACTACAGCTGTTTTACTATCCAGCCATCACCCAAGTCACTGAGTTGCAGAAGGATGGGTGAGCCTTTGGGATCTTCACAAATAATTTCCCCTTAAACAATTCCTCATCTCTCCCCCTTCTTCCAGTTTTTGTTCCAACAAACAAAAGTTGCACCACACCATCGATGTTAGCCTCCTTTCAGAACTGCCCTTGTATGACTTTAGGCAGTAAATTGCTTAAGGAATTCCAGCTCACCAGCAAGGCACGACCCCTCATTCCTGGAACCACGTGGCCTAGCTTTGATCAAGCTGTGTGTTCTCACATATCCCGTATCTGATCCCTTAAAAATAGCTCTTAGGTGTCTATTCCTTCCTTCCACCCAATGCTCAACGAGTCTGTAATGGCCACATGCATCTCTGACATCTAGAACAATACAATGCTGGCCAATTTCAGGCTGCAGGAAGATTTTCTCATTAGAAGTTTGAAAAAGTAGATGATGAAACTTCAAAGGGAGGTTCATACTTTGACATTAGAAATCCATTATTTTTCTTCTTGAGATGAAGAGAGCGAGGGATGCTAGCTTTGCTGTCAATATTGCCTTCTTTGTCTTGAGCACTGAGCTAAGACAACTGAGGTGAAATGAACAGCACAGGTACAATGTGTCATGAATGCAGTGTGACAAGAAAAAAAAAACCTCACGTGCACTTGACAGCATCTCATTCATGTGCAATGAGAAAGTTATTTCTGGAGTCAGTAAGTTGCCTCTAGGAAGATAATATTTTAGTAGAGAACATCACAACCTGTTCTGCAAAGTATGTCGTTAGACACACAGAAAGAAGAATGGGAAATGTAACATAAAAGGGTAATTCCTGTCCCCATGTATTTAGATAAAGGCTGTGTGTTTCCTGGAAAGTGAATTTCTCGTACAGAGTACTGAACAGCCTCAGGTCCCCTTTTGATCGTGTGGATTCCATATACACCATTTATTTCCATTGCTAGGTGGTTTGTGTCCGCGCCTGCCAATCCTATCTCACTGACTCTCCCTTTCCTTTCAAGTTTCATCTGACATTTTCCACTCTTGCTTCCATGATTCTCATTTTCCCTCTCCCATATCTATTAGATCTACTTGAAAATCAGCTAGATTTCTAAGGGTTAAGTCACTCAGGAAGAGAAACCTCATTAAAGACTCAAGCCACTCTCTTTCCATTCAGAATGAGTGACAGCTGTCATTCAGAGGCTTGTTTCCATAGGGGATTTGGGCCATGTCTCTCTCTTTATATATACTGTTTTGATTGGGTTGGGGAGGTGCATTCTGAAGCGGGAGAATAAATCATAGGCTGAATTTTTGCATAGTCATTACTCAACCCTCCAACTCTATTGTTACAGATAAAGTACCAACACGCTCCAAGGCAGGGCACTCAGAGGGGAGTGTCTGGCTGGCACAAGCCATTAGAATCAACAAGAACTCACGTACAACAATCCGTCACGGCTAATACAGGTTCGGCTTTCAGGCTAGTTTTAAATAAACTAGTAAAAAAAATACAGAAAAACAAAGATGAGCTTCTATATGGTGGCAGTAAAATGTCAAATAAAGAAAAATGATGATTATTATTAGCTTCCCTTCCTCTACTGAGACACCTGCAGGAATCCACTTGTAAGAGTGGACTTTATTGCTCTCTGTAACAGTGCAACAGCTGCAGCCCAGCGGACTGGGTGAGGTCAGGCTAGTTAGCCGAGTTCTCTGGGAGGAATGTGCACAACTTATTAAAGGCCCAATTGGGCATAAAAGCCAACTGCAGTTCTTGAAGGGCTGCGTGTCATTTCATCCACTACAAAGATTCATTCATAACTAGCATGCAGCACAGTCAGTGTGTTTTCCCCCTGGAAATAATTTTAGTACCAATCCCACAGCTAAGCACCACAACGAATGTACACTTTTAATTATTTTTCCCTTTTAATAAAAGAGGAAGCCTGGACAAATATTTCTAATTTAATTTTGCTTTGCTTTTCAGACAAAGGAACTTTTATTGCCTTGCTGCTTCAAGACTTTTTGCAGAAGCTGTAGAAAAATTGTTAGGTTTGTACTGGGCCCAGCAGACCATCAGTGACAAATCCCCAGGAGTCTACAAATAGAGGACCCACCTCATTGCTAGTGGAAATTGGCCATTGACTTCAATGGAGGTGTGCTAATCTGCACCAGCGGAGAATTTAGCCCACAAAGCCCAGGGTGCAACTGCAGCTGTTCCACAGGGTTAATCTCTTTTCTTTTTGGTGGAAAATATTTAGATACAAAAATCCTCTGCCAGTCAAGCAAAGCACTGCCCATTTTCCCTCAGCCGGAAGTTGAAAAGGTAACATATCTCTCCCAGCATGACTAAGCTATGCAACATGTTTGAAAGCTGTTTCTTAGTTGTATCTGGATTTCTGAGCCACAGCTGGTGACAGTCATCTAGCTAAACAGAAGTAACTACGATTGTAACATTGGACATGAGGGAAGAGACAACAAATTTCCATCGGCTTCCATATTGGGCTTAGCAATCCCCCAAACAACACTGGACCCGATCCTGAGACGTGCTGATGTCAGTGGGAGTTGAGGGAGCTCAGCACCTGACAGGATCAGGCTCTTTAATTTTTTAAAAATTTAAATATTTTGTGTTAAAGGTTACAGGTGTTGGTCTACCTCTGCTCCCACTGGAGTCAAGGGAGCAGACTCAGGCCAATGCTGAGTGCTTTTGCAAATCTCACCCTAAAGTTTTGTTAATGACATGGAAGAAGTTCGGAGAATTGTTTAGTCTCCCACACAGCCAGTGTCACAAATATTCTCTCTATAGCAAAATGTCTTCCTCCAGAAGGGGGCACCAAAATGACAATCAACTTATATCATCGCAGTGTTCACATACATGTCAAGAGCCGAATACTCTGGTGCCATAAATCCACTGAAATCAATGGAGTTACTCCAGCAGAGAATTTGGCTCTAAGCATATTGATGGTGAGAAATGCTTCTTGTTTCTGTGCTGCGTGGAGACAAAAAGAGGTCTTGGTTTGCCTTTAAGACCACATTTGAAATTATGGTGTTTACATGCTATTTGAACAATTGAGGGTTAAGCTACAAATTGCACATTAAAATCTAGGGGAAAGTGTTGATTGCCTCAGACTCCAACACAAAGCTGTCGAAGGGCTCTTAGTGAGTAGAAAGGGTTAGTTTCATGGGAACATGACTCACTGTATCTTCATGAATAGGCAATGAATTTGCAGTCAAGACCATAAAGTACTGTGTAGTACACTTAACAGAACAACAATGCTATTGGAGCTTTTAGCTGCAGCTTAACTCTCCAGCTCAGGAAAGTGGTATGTGTTCCTCGGACATTCTGGAAAAGCCCACAATACTTGGAAATTCAGTAACAGACACGTCAGCAAAGCAGCAAACTGCTTCTCATAAAGGAATTCACATAAACTGGATCTTCCCTAGAGACACCTTAAAGAGAACAGGATTTTCAAAATCTGTGGGTCAGAAGTCTCTCAGGCAAAAATCTCAAGCAAAGCTCTTGCTGATTTCAATAAGTAAGGACAGATTAAGCAAAAGGACTTTGGGCTCTGGCCCTGGAATACCACAGCACTGGAATGACCATTCCTGTAGGTAGTAATACTGAAGAACTAAGACAATACGTGTCTCGTGTAGAAATACTCATACAAGTGTCTTGGTTAACGTGGAGCAAGTCTTTTGGAGGCTACTAGATTAAATCAACAGTGCTGTTAAAAACAGCACCTCTTTAATAGTGGGTATGTAACTCAAAGTCTGTCTGTGCCAAGCAAGGCACTGCTCGGCACTGCCTTAACAGCTTTTCGCCCCATTCTGCTGACGCCACTCTTTATTCAAACATTTATGCTTTCGAACAAGTTTCGTTTTTTTTAAACGTTCTTCTGCTTGACAAACAGGTCACCCCTGGTCTCTGCTCTCGGGTGGTTGCTATGGAGCAGCGTGAATGAACCCTGAGCTAGGCTCCTACAGCGAGGAGTCCATGATAGAATGGCCGTTCTGCGAGAGAATCCTGCGTTTCGTGACATTGGACTTGACCGATGCAGGAGAGTATTTGGGATTCCTGTAGCAGATAAAGCAGAGGATCTTCCGGAAGGTGCTGCGCATCTCATTGTCCCGATAGGAGTAGACAATGGCGTTGATGAGCGAATTGATCTCTGCCAGCAAGAGGACATACTTCTCCATTGCCAGCACATTGCAGCTCTCACAGGCCAGGCCGTCCAGCAGGAGCAGCACCTGCCCTGGAGTCCAGCAGATAACGAAGGCACCTGGGAAAAGAAGAAAAGCTGTAAGAGTAAAGTGAGGCACCAGGACTCCTGCCTCTGACTTGCTGGGGCGTCAGGGCCTTGGGTGAGTCACCTGCCTCCACAGCTGGTCAGGAAATGCCCCCCCCCCCCAAAAAACAAAGAAAATGAAATTAAAAAGATATATTCAAATGTTTAGTTTTCACAGGAAAACCTGAAACAGGTAGTTAACTATAGCAGGCTATTTCTGGCAGAAATGTCTGTTTCTGCAAAAAAGACATTTTCTGTCAAAAAGTCATTTTAGATGGAAAATTTTCAGCTAGCTCCATTCACTGCTTTTATCTCAGTTTTGCTATCTATATGACGAAGTTAATAAAACTGACTTACCCACCATAGGAAGGAGAGCGGGTTACTAAACGCAGTTAATTAATGCTAAGTTAACAAAAGCAAATAAATGTGCATGGGAGGAAATAACAGAACTATTTATATACCTTACAGGTTTCTACAGTAACTTTGTCAACTCTGAGAAAAGACCTGGGCATCATTGTGTGCAGCTCAATGAAGACCTCTGCTCAAATATGCAGCTTCAGTGAAACACACAAACAAAATAGGATGATTAAGTAATAATCTGGAAAATATTCCAACACAGTTATATAAATCAATGGTTCATCATCTGGAATCCTGGGTGCAGTACTGGACACCCTATCTAAAAAAATGACATTGCAGAATTAGAGGGGGTTCAGAGAAGGGTGAGGAGCATGATCAAAGGCCTGGAAAAATTCTGTTCTGAAGAGAGAGATTGAAAAGCTTGGCATTGTTTCCCTAAGAGAAGAGAGGATGTGATATGCCCACACCTTGAGTACTGCGTGCAGTTCTGGTCGCATCCTTTCAAAAAGATACATGTGATTTGGAAAAGAAGCAGAGAAGGAAAACTACAATGATTAGAGGTATGGAACAGCTTCCATATGAGGAGAGATTTAAAAAACTGAAACTGTTTAGCTTAGAAAAGAGATAATTAAGGGGAGATATGATAGAGGTCCATAAAATCATGAATGATTTGGAGAAAGTGAATAAGGAAGTGTTATTTACCCATTCACCTAACACAAGAACTAGGAGTCACCCAATGAAATAAATAGGCAGCAGATTTTAAAATAAACTAAAGGAAGTACTTCACACAACGCAGTCAACCTGTGAAACTTCTTGCCAGTGAGAATGTGTGAAGGTCAAAAGTATAACTGGGTTCAAAAACAGATTAGATAAATTCATGGAGGACAGGTCCGTCAATGGCTATTACCCAAGACAGCCCCATGCTCCGGGTGTCCCTACACCTCCAATGCCAGAAGCTGGGACTGGACAACAGGGATGGATCACTCAAAGTGCCCTAGTTTGTTCATTCCCTCTGAAGCACCTGGCACCAGCCTCTGTCAGAAGACAGGATACTGGGCTAGATGGACCATTGATCTGACCCAGTATGGCCATTCTTTTGTTCTTAAGGGTCATTTCCCTTTATTCCTGTAATTTGATCAGACATTTGTTTGGAGACTCAAATCATAGACACATTCTGTACACATAGGGACAGTAACTCAGGAATGTCTATTCATCCTGTCTCGTAACACAAGGACTGGGGGATATTCAGGAAAACTGAATGGTGACAAATTCAAAACTAAGAAAAGTATATACTTTTTCACACACAATAATATAGTGGAACTCATTGCTACGAAGTTTCATTGAAGACAAGAGCTCAGCAGGATTCAAAAAAAGGGTTGGCCATTCATAGGCATAACAAGGATATCCATAATTATTATAGCGAGGGTTAAATAAATAACCAAGCATTTTGGAAGCGATCTAAACTCTCCTGCTTTAGGACATGAGCCCGATCCTCTGGCTATAAGGAGTCAATAACTTCCCCTGGGGGTAGGTTATCCCATCACTTCCTTCTGCGGGGCTTCTTGCATCTTGCCATAGTCAAAGATGGAAGACAGGACTGGCTGGGCGCCTAGGTCTGCCTGTTCCTGGCAATTCCTGTATTCCGTCTGAAGCTCTTCTGAAGAGATCCATGTCACTCAAAGCTTGTCTCTTTCACCAACAGAAGTTGGTCCAATAAAAGATATTACCTCACCCACCTTGTCTCTCTAATATCCTGGGACCAACATGGCTACACCACTGCAAACTACTGTTTGGGAAATCCTTTAGCAGAAGGATTTTGAAGGACAAAGGATGGCCATTCTGTCGATGAATGAGGCGGAGGGGGGAGGGGGAGAGGGAAGGAATTTCTAGGGTGATTATTGTGCATTCTGAACCCCCTGCTATTTGCAGTCGTGTTTTTAGTTCTGAGGCTGCCGTAAACCACGCACTCCCCCGCTAGCATTCTTGTTACACCGGGGGTGTATCCTGGCCTGTCTCCTGGAGGAGGGTGGAACAGAAGGAACAGTGCTCACTGGGAGCTTTTCAACTACACCCTTTACTGGAAATCGCCTGCTAGGAAGAAAAACGACCACGGAGGGTGCTGCAAAATGAGAGACTGACTCCGAAACCTTTGATTAAAAGAAACAGGGAAAAAGGCAGCACTGGTGGGGGGTCAGGGCAGCAGCAGCTGCTTTCTGGGCAAGGCTGGGTTTCTCTGCAACTCCAATAAACTTCCTTCCAGGGTCATTGCTTTGGTCCTAATTTCAGAGGGAGGAGTGGGGACAAAAAGAAATTCTGCACTCAGCTGAATAGTAGCCTTTGGAGAAGTATGCACACCACAGCATCACTAAGGGAGGGCTGATGCCCCCAGCTTGTGAGAGCCTGTCTCCAGCCCATGCACACTGGGCCAGATTCTCCAGGGCTTAGTGCCCACAACAGGGGCCAAGTTCTCTGAAGAGCTCTATTGCCCTTCAGCACCCAAACAAAGGTGCTGGACTCTCAAAGGTGTGCTGCACCCGATGCACCGGCCTCTCCTGTCTGAACACCCGCACCCATGTTTTGGTGCCTAAATGGGAGCTAAGTTCTTTGGAAAAATCTGATTCCCCATAGTGGCCCGCTGACAACCTCTTTTGAGGCTGTTGGGCCCTGTCCTGTGATCTCGCTCTCATTCCCCAGTTACAAAAGCTCTGTCTAGGGGCTCATACACACAGGAAAGGTATTTCAGCAAAAGGTAGGGTGTGAATTTAATTCACTACCTCTGTTCTGGGATAAGAGCTTGCATGGGACACTTGTTCTGGAATAAGAGTGTTCACACGGGGAGCTCTTCTGGGTAGCTATTGGTAATCCAAGCCCTTCAATGTCATCTAGAAGACAGAAACCCATGAGCTTTAGGAAAGTCCATATTTGCCATCACTATGGATAAGTGATTGACAAACCCACCCATTCACCTTGCTCCTATACAAAACGAAACACTTTTCCAACCCGAAAGCATCTTTCACATACCCCATATTGACTTTTCCCTGAAGATTATCCATTTCAGAAGCTTTCCCTCTTCATCATCATCATCACACACACCCTTTCACCACACAGAACTCCTGAACACTGACATTAACCAGATGCTTTTGGTTTCCTTTACTGAGCAATAAGCGGTCTCAGTCTTGCTGTTTCCCAAATTTTGCAGCGCAAGCACGGGGGGGTTAATTATTGAGCCAAGTCTCCGTTGGTGCAACTCGAGTAGAGTCCATCAGAGTTACAGCAGCAGAGAACATGGCCCGGTTTAACCCCCTGGTGCCGTCTGCAGCTGCTGGGATCTGCTCGCGTGCAGTCGCAGGTCTGTCTTTGGAAGAACAGAGAGGCACACGGGACAGGATTGGGCAATGGAAGGTCAAGGAAGTCCTCCTCTCATCACCTTGCCCTGGCCCATGTGAGTGCCTCACACCATCCGCCCGCTCCATCCTTGCGCTCAGGCCATGGCCGAGACTTCCAGGGCACCCAAGGGACCATGCATCATTCACACACGCGCCCACAAGCCTAAACAAGAATGGGCTGTCTCACTGTCAGAGCCACGCAAACAGCTTTGACCCCATTCTGACTCCGCTGAAATCCCCAAAGGGCTCCGGCTACACGGACTCCACAGAGGCTGTTATCTGCAGCGGCCCCATTAGGACATGGCTTTCGTCCATGTTATCTGGACTGAGGGATAATGTCTCCCGCAGCCCAGCCTCCCCTTGGGCTCAATGTGAGCACAGACGGGAGTCTGGTCAGCGGTGAATCTGCTCTGCAGTTCGCTCAGGGTCAGGGGCCGGGACTCAGGGGAAATTCTGCTGTTGATGTCAAGGGCAACAAGACTGGGCCTTTCTTTACCCATATGCTGCATCTTCCCTGTCTCCTCCAGTCCCCCCCTGCCCCCTTCTACGTGGTTTCATCCTAAGACCTTTGCACCCTATTTTTAACATCTGTGGCCTTCACAATTCTGAGACACAGCCTCACACAGCAGTCACACGCTTGCTGCCCCTGAAGGTGTCTAACCCTCCCTCCCTGTTAGCACACCTACCAGCCACCACACCCTCCAATGAGTAAAGGGCAAAATATGTCTCTCTGCACAGTCCAAGTTTGCAGAAGGCTGTGGAGCCGGGCTAAGGGGATGGAAATTATCCCAGGGTTTTCACAGAGCAGAAAATCTCTGCATTAGCAGCTCTGGCAGTACCCTGCTGAGCCCTATCATTAATGGGTATTTCTCAGCTTTGAGTGGTAAAAAAAGGTCTCCCCCTCCCCCACTTGCTCAGCTGTCAGGGTGAAGACTGGCTCTGCCATTTCCTCCCTGATGTCAGTCCCATGGTGATGGCAGAAGCCAGGGTTTCACTGCAGAGATTCCAAGGGCTTTGGCCAATTCCTCTCGTCTGCCTCCCTCCAGCCCCCACAGGCCACTCCCTCCAAGCTCACCTTGCTCTCCCCTGCTGGTTTCCAGTTCAAGGAGCAAGGAAAGGCTGGAAAGGGGATCCTAGCAGCAGAAAGATGGGTCAGGTCTGGATTTTCCCCACCACCACCTTAGACTCCCAGGTAAGCACCCCTGCCAGCAGCCAGAAATCCGTCCTCCTTCCCAGCATGATGCCTCGAAGTCACACTGAAATGAGCCAGTCCCAGCAACATCCACCCAGGGTGGAGTTAGCTACTGTTCTAGGGGGGTGGGAAATAATTTGCCCTGTTCCTGACTGTGCAAAATAAATAAAACAAAATGTGTTCCTGCCCTGCTGAACTTGTCTACAGCATCTGATTGATTACTGGGCAATCATGGGCATGCAGAACACGGGGTCGGGGGGGGGTGCAGCTAAGGCAGGAAAAGACACAAACTGTAGCACTGCATTAGCAAGTTGCAACAGGATGCGAGCACTAATTCTCCTCCAGCAGAGAGACACCAAGGAACCACACAACTCAGATTCCTGCTTCCTCCCTCTCCCCTCCCCCTCCCCGCTCTGCCAGCAGGAGTTTGCAGGCAGTAGCTTCTTTGTTTGCAGCTTGAAGGTTTCCCTGACTGAGCAAATTCTGCACTTATCAGGAGAGATCTGCAAGCTGGGAGCATGACCACAGGCTCAGATGTGAGCTGGGATGCAGAGGCTAGGGTGACCAGACAGCAAGTGTGAAAAATCAGGACAGGGGAGGGGGGGTAATAGGCACCTATATGAGACAAAGCCCCAAATATCAGGACTGTCCCTATAAAATCGGGATATCTGGTCACCCTAGCATAGGCACTTAACATGTTTATTTATTTCATTTTCATTAAGCACTTTGGATCATGAAGGATGGGACAGCAAGCAGGGGCGGCTCCAGGCACCAGCGCAGCAAGCGCGTGCCTGGGGCGGGAAGCCGCCGGGGGCGGGCTGCCGGTCACTGTAAGGGCGGCAGGCAGGCGGCTTTCGGCAGCACACCTGCAGGAGGTCCGCCGGTCCTGCGGCTTCAGCGGCAATTCGGCGGCGGGGACGCCGATGGCACGGCACTGGCGGACCTCCCTCAGGCATGCCGCCGAATCCGCGTGACCAGCGGACCGCCTGCAGGCGCGCCGCCGAAAGCTGCCTGCCTGCCGTGCTTGGGGCGGCAAAAAGCATGGAGCCGCCCCGACAGCAAGTAATAAAAATCAGAAAATTTCCCTGCACTGGCCCTGCAGTCGCCAGGTACTCTGCACCAAGGTCCTGGCCTGCAACAGCTGCGCACGCTGCAGGGAAGCCCTGGGATTGCAATACTGATAGACTGCACCTTTCAACCCAAACTCCCTAATGACCTTTAGAGACTATATACACTCAGAAACACTAACATGCAGCTGCCTCTGGGGTGCAAGGCAGCAGCCGCAATGCACAACACTGGCCAAGGAGACTGGGACAAACCTTGGGCCAGATTCTCTTGGTGTACTTTGCCAGACCTCTGCTGCATTCGATGGAGCTTCACCAATTTATACCAGCAGGGAGTTTGGCCCACGGGCTCTCACAGTGCACACCGCCTGGCGGCTTTAATGTTTCTGCAGAGCAGACAGTACCTGGTGTTTCAGAGTCTCTGCAATGATATAATTCTCAGGGCAGTTTCAGTAAAAACCTCAGGCAGGACCGAGGCCAGGAGGGTCAAAGACCCTATGGGAGTTACATGCCCAAATCCCACGGACTTTGGACCATAGTGGGGCACAAACCTCCCCTGGCCCATTTGAAAATACCAGAGTGAAACCTGATTTCATCATCCTTATCCCCTTTTATTGCAGGAGACGTAGGCGCTGATTCCGTGGGTGCTCCGGGGGAAAAAAAAGAGTGGGTGCTCAGCGCCCTCCAGCGGCCACACACCCACCAGCTCCTCCCCCTCCAGCGCCTTCTGCCTGCCGCTGATCAGCTGTTTGGCGGCAGGCAGAAGGCGCTGGGGGGAGGGGGAGGAATGGGAGGGAGAGGCGGAGTGGGGGTGGAGCCTCGTGGGAAGGGGCGGAGTGGAGGCAGGAAAAGGCGGGGTGAGGGGGGGGCCTTAGGGGAAGGAGCAGAGTGGGGGCGGGGCCTCAAGGCTGAGCAGGGCTGGAGTTCACCCAGGGAAAGCTGAAAGTTGGTGCCTGTGGCAGGAGAGACGGAGGACTGTTTCTCTAGAAGCCTCCACACCACTACAGCTACTCCCAACTCCACTGCGTCCATAGTCAACTCCCCCCCTTAGGAGAGCAGAACACTTCGAACAGAGCATGTGTCTGCCAAAGTGCCCCCCACCCCCAGACAGACAGACACAGGGTGTGATGTTAATACACTGCTCATATTCCCGGTCTGCGCTGGCCAAAGCTCAGCATTTGCTCTCTGACAGAACATCACATCTTCTTCCCCCACAACCTCCGGCTCTTTGAAGAGCCACAGCTGCTGGCCATGTTCACAGAGAATGGAGATAAGAGAATCTCAGGGTTGCACTCCCCTCCTAAGTACCTCTTAGAGGTGCTCCAATTAGAAGCCGGGGAAGATGCCAAACTCACCCCTTTAGCTTGGCCTTCCCTCAACAACTGCAAAGAAAGGAACGGTAGAAGGAAAGGGACAGACAGGGTGAGGCAAGGAGTGAAAGGAAGAAGAAATAAATCATCATTTCTCCATGTGGCCGTCAGGAGGAAGGTGGGCCACGTGATGGATTTTATGCTGTGCGTGGTGATTCTGGAAAGCATTCAGATGCTATAGCGTAGGTAGAGCTTGTAATGGATTTATGTTGTTTAGACTGATGGTTAGTCCAGTGATTATGGAACAAGGTATGTTGATCGCCCCAGAAGTTTCAATACCTAACACCATGCTAGAAGTGATGCATAAGTTCTGCTATCTAGTAGGATCAACTAGTATCGGATAACTCAACTCTAGATGAGCTGAATTCTCAAATTGGAAAGGCAGCTACCACATTTCAGCCAACTGACTGAATGTGTGGGAGATAACAGAAAACTAACACTGAGCACCCAGATACATATCTACCAGACATGCGTTTCAAGCATGAGGGTGAGACCTGGACCATCCAGCAAGTGTGAGAGAAGGCTAAATACCTTTCACACCCACTGTCTTCATCATATTCTAAATATCAAGTGAGAAACCAAAGTTCCTGATGCCAAGTCTAATCACTACTCTGGACAGCTTCACCGGATGGATGATTGACACATTCCAGATGATCTCCTGTATGAAGGATCTGCAGATGCTCCAAGGCCACTGGGCCAACCTAGGCTCAGGTTCACGGACATTTGCAAGAGGGACTTGAAACCCTTCAAAATCAACATCCCAAGCCGGGAAGATGCAACGGGGAACAGGCTACCCTGGAGTCAAAGAGGCTGAAGAGAGATGGTGGAGAGAGAGGAAAGCAAAGAGAGCAAAGATGAAAGTGCAACAGGTCTCAAGCACTTGTAGTGCCTGAGCTCCATCCTCTGACCCCGTGCTTTACACCTGCACTATTTGTGGCAAGGACTGTCACTTGGATGCTGCAGCAGGACACACAGTAACAGAACTGCTTTGGCACCGACACCAGTCTTTTGAGACAGACGGTTGCGATAGACAGCTGGTGATCAACTCCTCTACATAATACTGGCTGTGCCACTAAAACACATTTAGGACACAAATTAAAAACAACAGCCCTCTTTTTACAGGGCAGCGGGCTGGATTCTTAGCTCCTCCACCGCCCCTTAAGCCAGCAGGTCTGAGGACTCTTCCAGCCTGAAGGAATCCCCCGCTGGCATATGTATGGGATATCTGGATCTATGTGCCCTCCTTGCAGCTCCCAGGGTGTGATGGAGGCACTGGGAGAGAGTCAGGAAAAGGGGAGACAGCCATAGTGTACTGGCACCTCAGTGTTCCCCAAAACCCCAGTGGGAGCCACTGCAGTTGCATGTAGGTTAGAGCAGTCCTGAGGCTGTTCTAAGTTACACCAGAGGCCAAACCATTCCCCAGGAACCCCAGGGGAGCAGGAGGGTGGCTCACAACCACCTCCCCCCATCTCAGCTGTACTGGACACCTCCTTCCCTCTCTCACTCCCCAACATCTGGGCAGACAAGGGAAGGAGCCCTATGGCACCATGCAGATTGGGAAGCAACTTACTGAGAATGATGATGACGGTTTTGATGAGATTGATCATGGTCTCCTTGTAGCGGGGGTGGAAGCTAGTGTGCTTGGACATGCTCGTCATCTTCCTCTTGACATAGACAAAGATGTGAGTGTAGACGACCACCATGATCAGGAAGATGAACAGGTTGGAGAGGGCCCAAAAGGTCAAGTAGCTCCTGCTGTAGAGGGGCGCCATCCTGGAGCAGTTGCCCAGGTCACACAGGCAGTGCCAGCCATAGGACGGGATGAGGCCCAGCAGCAGGGCTGTGACCCAAATGCAGATGATCAGGATCACCACCCGCTGGTTGGACATGGAGCTGTGTAGCTGCATGGTGAAGATAGTCTGGTGCCTCTCCACTGCGATGGCCAGCAGGTTCACCACCGAGGCAGTCAGGCTGGTGTCCAGGAGGCTCTGCCGGATGAACCAGGTCCTGAGAGAAAGCCCTGCTGTCCTGGGCCCCGTGTGGAACATGAGGAACATGTAGGCAATGCCCGCGAAGAGGTCCGCTGCCGCCAGGTTCCCCAGCAGGTAGTAGATGGGGTAGTGGAAGCGCCGGTTGATAATGATGGCGCTGATGACCAGCAGGTTGGTCAGGAGCACGATGACGCTGACTGTCAGGCCCAGGGCAACGACCAAGACATCCTTGGTCCTCCAGTAGGTGGTCAGCTCCTTCCGGCTGTTGTTGTAGAAAAACCCCACACTCTCATTGTAGTAGCAGTGCCTCATCTTTACAGTCCCTGAGGACAGGAGAGAGTCGTGTTAGTTCAACCACTGGCACACAAAGCAGCCCCTGTTTATAGCCCGAGAGACGCACTGAGCTAATACTCCACGGCCTGGTCTACACGTCACATAGCACTCAGTTGGGAAAACTTTTGCAGCGCCATGGTTAGGTTGACTGAACCCCTGGTGCAGACACAGCTAAGTCGACAGAAGAATTCTTCCATTGATCTAGTCACTGCTCTCGGAGAGGTAGATATACACAGTGATGAAAGAACCGCTGCTGTAGTCAGCGTCTCCACGGCAGCAGCACAGCTGTGTCACTGTAGTGTTTCTCGGGTAGAGCTACCCTAAGATACAAAACAGGAAAAAGCGTAGGTAGGACAAACCTCACCATCTGCTACAGACATGAGTCTAATTAAAGTGAAATAGGGTGAACAAGAACCGGAAGCCATCTGAGCTGCTGACATAACAGCCCTTCCCCCATGTCCTGTAAACCAGGTGCCTGATTCACCTTTGCCTCGTGCAGTCATTCTCTGCAGTGCAAGGTGAACACTAACTGGGTGTCTGACGCTGCACTTCTGTAAGTGGCTGCACAAGACGCTGGGCTGCAGGGGCCAGTGGAGTACAACCGACTCCAGGAAAATTATGCTGAGGATGCAGCACAACTCCGGAAACAGATCAGGCCTCAGAGATTTGCCCCGATCTGATAAGGGATTCCTCCTCAGGAATATCTGCTTCCCGACCAAGCAGCTATGTGTGGGAGACAGAACTGCAATTGTTATTGTTGCTCCAGCTGCTCTACTTCAAAAATTGAAAATAAAGCACATAACACAGACATTTATCAGTCAAACATCAAGCAAAAATCTGACAAAACCTTTGATTCCCTGCAGCTGTCACCCACCCCGCAGAACCGCGGCTCCTGGCTTGGTGAGTGCCCAGCTCTTAAATTGGTTGAGCTTATTTTGCTGCTCAATGCCTGATGGTAACTCCCGGCTGGTCCTGAACTCCACTCTTTTCCCAGGTCTTACTAATCCTTCTAGAGGGGTGGGCACTGCAAGACTAGTCTGCCAAGGGGCAGATGAGTACTGAGAGCCTGGGCTTTAACACAGAGCCTGGCCAAAGATGCTAAACTGCTGCAGGAGGTCAGCAAAATATATCAGGGGGCTGGATAACTTCATTGGCACTAATACCTTGGGAAGACATTGGTACAAAGGCAATTGAATCTCATACTCCAGGGTATCAACTAATCCCCTGCCTGGGTCAGGGAGTGACTCTCCCCCTCCCCACACCCATGCTGAGCAGGAACCGGAGCCAAAGCCCTGGAAAGACTGAGAGGCTCCGGCAGCACTCTAGTGCTGGGAAAGGCTGTTCACCTTTCCTTGAAGCATCAGGTACACGCTTGCTGGTGGAAGCAGGATATGGGACTAGCTGGACTATGGTCTCCAAGGTGATAAATCCTACACACTGAAGCACGTACCTCTTTCAGATTTTAAAATACGCTTCTCGATTGCCCTGCGGAAACCCAAATCAGCAATCTGGGTGAAGTCAATGGGGATCAGGTACCCAGAGCAGATGCAAAGTCAGACTCTAAAAATGGAAGCTAATTTATTTGGAAAAAACACTAAACATTTTAGGGAATTATCCCAATCAATGTCATGCGGCATTAGAGCGCTGACTCAAACAGTGACAACTATCAACACAGAAATGGGTCTGTCTTCTCTGGAAGAGGAGATTTACTCCTCGGGATGTTTGCCTCCTCGGCTAAGCAGGGCTCGACCTTTCCTTCGATAGCACAGTCAATACAGCTGCAGGGAAGAGTCAGCAGCTATGCTTGCACTGGATTTCCCAAATGCCATCAGACGTGCAATTGTGCATCGTACCTCCAGCAGGGCACCCCCTAATCCCTCAGCACCAGAAAGTGACTCCTGCACGTAGGGACTGAGCCCAAGTGACAATGGGAAGTCTAGAACTCCATCTCCTGCTCGGATATGGGGAGTTGGAACCATTCTAAGCCTTGATTTTAAATCCCTCCAGCTCAGTGGTTCTCAACCTTTCCAGACTCCTCTACGCCTTTCAGAAGGCTGATTTGTCTTGCGTACCGCAAGTTTCACCTCATTTAAAAACTACATGCTTACAAAATCAGACATAAAAATACAAGTGGCACAGCACACTATTACTGAAAGATTGCTTATTTTCTCATGCTTACCATATTATAAAATAAATTAATTGGAATAGAAATATTTTACTTACATTTCAGTGTATGGTACACAGAGCAGTATAGATTCATAGATTCATAGATTCTAGGACTGGAAGGGACCTCGAGAGGTCATCGAGTCCAGTCCCCTGCCCGCATGGCAGGACCAAATACTGTCTAGACCATCCCTGATAGACATTCATCTAACCTACCCTTAAATATCTCCAGAGATGGAGATTCCACAACCGCCCTAGGCAATTTATTCCAGTGTTTAACCACCCTGACAGTTAGGAACTTTTTCCTAATGTCCAACCTAGACCTCCCTTGCTGCAGTTTAAGCCCATTGCTTCTTGTTCTATCCTCAGAGGCTAAGGTGAACAAGTTTTCTCCCTCCTCCTTATGACACCCTTTTAGATACCTGAAAACTGCTATCATGTCCCCTCTCAGTCTTCTTTTCTCCAAACTAAACAAACCCAATTCTTTCAGCCTTGCTTCATAGGTCATGTTCTCAAGACCTTTAATCATTCTTGTTGCTCTTCTCTGGACCCTTTCCAATTTCTCCACATCTTTCTTGAAATGCGGTGCCCAGAACTGGACACAATACTCCAGCTGAGGCCTAACCAGAGCAGAGTAGAGCGGAAGAATGACTTCTCGTGTCTTGCTCACAACACACCTGTTAATACATCCCAGAATCATGTTTGCTTTTTTTGCAACAGCATCACACTGTTGACTCATATTTAGCTTGTGGTCCACTATAACCCCTAGATCCCTTTCTGCCGTACTCCTTCCTAGACAGTCTCTTCCCATTCTGTATGTGTGAAACTGATTTTTTCTTCCTAAGTGGAGCACTTTGCATTTGTCTTTGTTAAACTTCATCCTGTTTAACTCAGACCATTTCTCCAATTTGTCCAGATCATTTTGAATTATGACCCTGTCCTCCAAAGCAGTTGCAATCCCTCCCAGTTTGGTATCATCCGCAAACTTAATAATCGTACTTTCTGTACCAATATCTAAGTCGTTAATGAAGATATTGAACAGAGCCGGTCCCAAAACAGACCCCTGCGGAACCCCACTCGTTATGCCTTTCCAGCAGGATTGGGAACCATTAATAACAACTCTCTGAGTACGGTTATCCAGCCAGTTATGCACCCACCTTATAGTAGCCCCATCTAAATTGTATTTGCCTAGTTTGTCGATAAGAATATCATGCGAGACCGTATCAAATGCCTTACTAAAGTCTAGGTATACCACATCCACAGCTTCTCCCTTATCCACAAGACTCGTTATCCTATCGAAGAAAGCTATCAGATTGGTTTGACATGATTTGTTCTTTACAAATCCATGCTGGCTGTTCCCTATCACCTTACCACCTTCCAAGTGTTTGCAGATGATTTCCTTAATTACTTGCTCCATTATCTTCCCTGGCACAGAAGTTAAACTAACTGGTCTGTAGTTTCCTGGGTTGTTTTTATTTCCCTTTTTATAGATGGGCACTATATTTGCCCTTTTCCAGTCTTCTGGAATCTCTCCCGTCTCCCATGATTTTCCAAAGATAATAGCTAGAGGCTCAGATACCTCCTCTATTAGCTCCTTGAGTATTCTAGGATGCATTTCATCAGGCCCTGGTGACTTGCAGGCATCTAACTTTTCTAAGTGATTTTTAACTTGTTCTTTTTTTATTTTATCTGCTAAACCTACCCCCTTCCCATTAGCATTCACTAGGATAGGCATTCCTTCAGACTTCTCGGTGAAGACCGAAACAAAGAAGTCATTAAGCATCTCTGCCATTTCCAAGTTTCCTGTATAAACAAGTCATTGTCTGTGTGAAATTTTAGTTTGTACTGACTTCGCTAGGATTTTTACGTTGCCTGTTGTAAAACTAGGCAAATATCTAGAGGAGTTGATGTACCCCTGGAAGACCTTTGCGTACCCCCAGGGGTACACATACCCCTGGTTGAGAACCACTGCCTTTTCTTACTCCCCTCCTCCACCTGTTACCCTTCCTTACATAGGGCTGGCTTCTGCTCTCCCTCACCACTGTGGGTACAAGAGTCTTCTCCTCTGCAGCTACAGCAATCCAGAGCAGCCTCCCTGCCTCTCCTCCATTATTTTCCAAAACAAATGTGAAACAACCACTTTTGCCTTGGCCTAAGCCTTTTCGTGTCCCCGTCCCCCCTCATTACTTGCTGCTATTTAGCAATATGCAGTATCTGAGTTGCAGTTTGCATGGGAGAAGCTGAACAAGATGAAGGTGCCTGGCACCTAATGTAATTTCAAGCCCCATCATCATTTCCTTCTGCAGCCAACATCTCACGCTGAGTGGCACAAAACGTTTGCATTGGAGAAACCAGTGTTTGTGTTTTGCAGCTATTCAGAAGCTCTCCCCTGGCACCTGCCTGCATGAGTTTCCCCTGCTGTGTGGCTTGAGATCGGGATAATGAGGAGTTAATTAAGAATTCTAACCTCATTAAAGAACTATGAAATAACAGCCCCATAAACAAGCAAGTGAGATCAGGAGAACCCTGACTATTACACACAAAAACCTCCCAGCATCTTGGTTCTCTAACACAGGGGTTCTCAGGACAAATTTTTTGGTGGCCTCAGAGTGCGGCCACCAACTCTTGCTGGTGGCCGCTCCCACACTTTTTCCTAAAATACTTAATTAGCTTTAGGAAAAACAAATAAATATGCACATGTACGTGTCCAAATCATTGTAATTTATTTATTGCTAGATAGTAAGTCTGTTGTGAAAAGTGATATTAACAAACATACAAGTATCACTTTTCACAGCAGACCTAATCAGCCCTGGCAAGCCAGGGGACAAATTAAGTCCTAGATGGAGTGTTGGGAAGGCAGTGGGAAGCTGGGGGTGGGGAGCTGGGGGAGACAGTGGGGGACTGGCACCTGAAGCCCTGTGGCCAGAGCCCGAAGCCCTGCGGCCACAGGATGATGTCCAGGGACAGAGCCTGAAGCCGTGTGTCCGGAGCCTGGGGCCTGCCACTGCACAGCCGGAGCCCAGGGCAGGAGCCCAAAGCCCCGCAGCCAGAGCTTGCTGCCCCACCCCCCCAGGGCTGAAGCCCAAAGCCTGAGCCCCACCGCCCCAGAGAAGGTGGGCAACTCACTGGCTGCCTGCTCCTACAGCGCTGTGCCCCAGGTGACTCCAGAGGGGGGCAGGGCCCAACCCTGCTGCTGGCCCCAGCAACCAACACCAGGACGGTGCATCCAGGAGCAACAGGGAGGGGGAGGGGGCTCTACTACCCCCCCTCCCCGACCCCCAAAATCACAGCCCAGGAGGCTGTGGCCGCAAGAAAAGCCCGTGGTGGCCGCATTTGAGAAAGCTTGAAAATTGGGAGGCAGCGCTGCCTGCAGCGAAGGGAAGGGTGGAGGGAAGCTCGGCTCAGAGCCAGAGAGGCCATTAGCATCTGCCCCAAATTTTGCATTTACTTTTCCTTCTCTAGCACCTTCCATCTCAAGCTTCTAAGGTCGGGCTTCATAGACATGAACTCACTAATCCTCATTGCTCTCTCGGGCTATTGGTATCCCCATTTTGCAGATGAGGGTAAGGGAAACACAGAGGTAAAATGGCTCACTTAAAACCACACAGCAAGCCTGACGGAGAAGGGAACAGAACACCCATGAGTCCTGACTTGCAGTTCCCTTACGTGAGTCATTTCCTTTAATGAGGCTGCTACCCAAGGCTGAGAGCAGAACCCAGGAGTCCTCATTCACGGTATCCCACTCCAGTAAACAACACTGCCTCCTTTTCCCGGATGTTTCAGAGTCTACCCGTCTAGGACAGCAGAATTTGCTCTGCTCACAATATCGTTGGTAACCCGGTAATGAGGTTACTATAGCCAGTCCAACCTGGTTATCACCTGTGCCCCACCCACCTCTCCACACACACACTGCTAATTGTGCAAACATGCAGAATGGACTGGCCTGGAATTTGAAAGCACAAACACAACACAGAAGCAGCCAGATTCAAAAGCTCAGCTAAAGACAGTCTCTTGATCTGTCCACTTAGGTCTTGTCTAGACTGCCACTTTACAGCGCTGCAACTTTCTCGCTCAGGGGTGTGAAACCCTGAGTGCTGCAAGTTTCAGCGCTGTAAGGTGGCAGCGTAGACAGTGCTACCGCGCTGGGAGCCGTGCTCCCAGCACTGGTAGCTGCTCCCCTCGTGGAGGTGGTTTTTCTCTCTCAGCGCCGGTGCCCCGGCTACACAGCCACATTAAAGTGCTGCCGTGGCAGCACTTTAACGTTGCTAGTGAAGACATGCCCTTATACACATGGCTTTGATTCCCAGAGAGTCTTGGTGCAGCACAAACATTGGTGAATGGAACTTACCACACCCCAGGGAGGTAGGGGAGTATCATCATCCCCATTTTTACAGATGGGGAAACTGAGGCACGGAACAGTGACGTGGCCTGTGGGAGAGTCACAAATGGTGTAACCACAAGCCTGTGCAATGCTGTAACCACAAGCCCATGCTTCTCCCTTCAGAGCCAGCAGCCAGAAGCTGAGGTGTATGCAGACCTTACACACCACCATGCAGATATTCCAGGGAAGCATCTGGTCCAACCACAACTCAGTTGGGGGTGAGAGCCCATTATGATCTGCAAGGGCAGGGGAAATCTTAAGACAACTGAAGGCTTGATCAGCAAGAGGAAGGAAAGATAGGAAGAAAAGGAAGAAAGATTAGGGATAGACAGAGAAAACCACTGGGGGTAACAGACAGCTAAAGAGCTCCCTGGGGGAGCACGGGGGGGGGAAGGAGGAGGAGTCTCCTAGGGAATGGAATTGGTTAGGGGCTCACACATGTTACTTCACACACCAGCAAGGCCGGGCCTGTAAGCATCTCCCTCCTCAGCCATTTGCAAAATTGTAAACCAGCCAAAACAAAGGGGGAAACTTTAGCAGAAGAAATAACAATACACTTCTCTGCAGAGGGTCAGTCTCCTGGCACCAGTGCCCTGGGGCAGGGGGATAAAAGGGTGTCAGCCATGCACATAGCACTTTATACATCAACCAGCTGTTTGCCCGGGAAGCAGGTTTCACATGCATTTGATTCAATCGACATTTTGCTGTGAAATGGTTTCAATCTATCCTTATTTTTTCCCCATAGTGAACGACATAGGTGCTTAGATACTATGATGAGTGCGAGACAAATAGATATATACTGGCCTCTAAGCAGTATTCACTGAACACACCAACTCATACACCCAGCGCAGATTAATTCTATCAGAAGGATACTGAAAATAATAATACCACACATGTGTGTTAATCCATGTGGCATCCAGTTTCAGTTTTTTTCAAGCCTGAGAGACAAAAAGCATATTGAGATAATGTTGTCTTGAATTTCCACCAGATAATGGAGACCAATCATATTTTGTTCAGAGGATTAAGACTTCAGCAACTATTTATAAGCAGTGCTCTTGTAGCACTGTTGGTCCCAGACAGGGGTTGTCTACTTTTTGTCAAGGTCCAGACTCTAGAGAAAATAATAATAAAAATAATATTAATCAATAATAATAAGCAAATAAAAAGATTTCAGGGTCTCTTCAAAAGTGTCTGGTGGTCCGGATTTGGCCTGCGGTCCCCCTATTGACTACTCTGGTCCCAGGCTATTGGAGAGACAAGCTGGGTGAGATAATACCTTTTATAGGACCAACTTGTGTAGGTGAGAAAGCTGGTCTCTCAATAAAAGATATTACCTTGCTCTGCTTGTCTCTTCAGCAACTATTTGACAGGCCCAATAAACTTTGCTATGCACACTGCATGCGTTCATGGTTCCCCGGGTAATTGCAAAGGGTCTTTCCAGAGGCACTGAAATTGTATCAGTTTGCCTCCACTTCCCCTTCGCTGAGAACATCTCTCCAAGTGAGCAAAGCCCCAGTTCCTCTTTACCCAGCTGCGTGAGAAGAAAAGAGGGACAGTCTGTATGGGTAGTATCCAAGACTGGAAAACCAGTTCATCAGCATTCGCCTAAATGACAGGGTCTTAAACATGGCTTTAGACAAACACCCAGCTAGAGAACATGGAAAGTTTCAGAGAGCGTTGCCAGCTCCCCCTGAAACGTAAAGAAGTTACAGGCTAAACCTGGGCAAACCAGTGACCAGGGTGGGGTCCAGGTGCTGACAAGTAATTGCTTATGTTCCTAGGCGCTTCCCTGACATCTCAGGCGCAGCTTTGCAATTAGGAAACCGACCTTGGAACGCGGCATCAAGGGCGGAGATCACCACAAACCACCATTATACAAAACAGACTAAACAAAAGGAACCCAGCAGCAAGAAAATGGACAATCAGGCCAGTGCCATGATGCACAAAGGAGGTGCTGGTTTCTGTTGTTGAGTGCATGGCCGTTCCCTTTCCAGACAGAGCCTTGCAAAGCTTGGTGTTCACCGGCGGTCACTTATTTGGTAAAAACAGCTGCAGCCAGCCATTGTTTATCCCCAAACCCTCTTCCCCCATCACATCATCTAGAACTCGTTATGCGGTTCCCTCCCTTTCATCAACCATTGCTAGTAACGGACCTTGCAGGCAATGCTGCGGAAGAGAAATTCTCACTCCATACCCACAGTCCTGTGGGATGCCACTGGGAGCTCTTCCTGTTAACGTGCACAGTGTGCCTCACTTCCTTGCATCACATAGGAATTCCTCACCTGAGCTGCTATCCCTAGACACACTTCCTGCTTTACTCTCGGACAGGTTCACAGCAAGTTCAGAATCATTCTTTTAACGGAAAATAAAAATGCCTACACATCCTGGCTTTTCATTTCTTAATGTTCAGTAACACTGGAAGGTGCTGCCTCTCTCCTTCAGGCCTGGGAAGGCATTTGGTGCACAATGTAGTATGGAAATGAGCAACAACGAATAGCTGAAATTCTGCTCCAACTAATCATCACAATCAATACAGATCAAACCTGAACAATGGAGCTAGTACAGAACTAGTATTCGCCTCACACATGCTCCAGTCCAGCTGTTTGAACACAGCCCACCGCAATACAAACTTATGTTGTCAGAAATTCAAAAAGCCGATTTAAAAAAAAAAAAACGTAGTCTCTACAGTGTTTTACTCCAAAGAATAACGTTCTTACCTGAAAGCACAGCCACTGCACCCAGATCTGACAGTCAGCATTGGTCTCCCCAGCACAGAAAGCCAGAGCCGCTATTCAGCAAGGAGATGGACGACCTCATCCCTGGAAGTCAGAGAGAGGCTCCTCCAAGCAAGAAGGAGGCCCGTGCCAATAGAAAAGTTTAAGACAAATGCTATACCTCCAAAGTCTGTCACAGGCACCTCTGAAACACTGACTCCTGAGAGGCAACTTTGCAAGAGCTCTCTGAAAAGAGCCCATCCTTCTTTGTGCCCTCCCCTAGGCGGGCCTTACCAAGCCACAGACATCTGCCAAGCAGGAGACTTGATCCACCCAGGAACTGTAATCTGAGTCTTTGACTAGCTTGATCTAGGCTGCAAAGTCATTTTCCCAGCACCTCCACTTCTGGAGGCACTGGTCTGGCACTAGAAGGGACAAGTTGCTCAGATCTGCACTCTTGGCGCTGTGTTTTTGCTCACTGTATGGATGGGCGCAGCTAACAGAAATTAATGTGGGGGGAGTTCTCTCCACTCCCACCCCCAAGGCCTCATCTCATGGTATCCTTCATTTCATTCGAGTGCTGGACTCTGATCCCTCCAGAATCAGGGGTGTTACAGACTGTCCTCTGTAGAGATTCCCCCAGAGGAACCAGCTGCTTTAGAGACTGTCTATGTCTACACTTGCAGAGTTTTTGCGCTGTCAGTTTCAACAGCGATAGTGAACTGGTGAAAGAAAAGCGCTGGTTTGGGTACTCGCTTACTTCCACAGGCATCAGAGAGTGTTTACATGTGCAGCACTTCCATCCCTGATGAGAGGAGCAGACTGAGCTATCCCACAGTGCAGCTCTCTCCATTTTGATGATAGGCCTTGTGGGAAGGCAGGGCAATTGTGGGGCATCCTGGGTCCAACTCCTCTCCCCAAACACTGGTCAGCTCCAGTAGCTCAGCATTGCTCCAGGCAGGGGAACGTTTACTCCGTGGAGCAGGCATTGTCACCTGGCCAGATAAGTGAGCACTTGCCAAGAAAACAGGAAGGGGAGTTTCAAAGTTCCCGGGGTTTTACGGGGGGGGGGGGGGTGGATGTCTGTTTACTTGGTAACAAAGCAGCAGAGCTGGTGACCAGAGTGGTCACCTAGGTACTGTGGGATATCCTGCGGAGGCTAACAGCTCTGTAAACAGGAAGAACGTGTCTTCACGAGCACATCACCGCAAAAGCATCACCAGTAAGAGCTGTACACCTCTCATGGAGGGGGTTTTCTTTTCACGGTGAAACTTCTGAGTTTCACCACAAAAAGTCATTGGCAAGTGTAGACGCTCCCACAGTTTTTGCACAAAAAAGGGACTTTTTCCACTTTAAATGGCAAGTGTAGACATGCCCTGAGGTGGTCTCTGCCCCAGAGGCAGAGCACAGAGCCTGACCTGGGACAGCTCCCCCCCAATGTTCACGTCCCCAGCCAGGCTGTTTGCAGGGATCTGGCCCTCACACTCACCTTTATGCTATAATCCCACCCAGCAGACTGGCTCTTACCAAGTGCAGTGAGAGAAACTGCCTAAGGGGCGAGGAAACACATGACCCCTGTGGTGACAGATTTAACAGGTGGAGGGGAAATGCACTTCCTGGGGCAGGGGAGACTCACAGGTGATCTCTTCCCTTTGCACCTCTCAGCAGGAAGCTCCCATGGGGCAGACCTCACTTAATTTCAGGAGATCTGTCAGTGATTTGTTTAAAACACAGAGAGAAAGAACACTGTGACTACATGAGTGCCTTCCCCGGGGTACTCTTAGGCCTGGTCTACCCAAGAAAATTCAGTCGGTTTAACTAAAAAAAAATTTCTGTCAGCAGTGTGAAAAATCCACCCCCCTGAGCAGTGTAGATAAGCTGACCTAAATCCCTGTGGAGCTACCATTCAGTTCTGTCACCCTAGCTACTGCTTCTTGGGGAGGTGGGTTACCTATGCTGATGGGAGAACCCCAACAAGCAAAGGGGCAGCAGAGGCAGAGCGGGGAAGGGACTCCCCTAAGGTAACCCCTCAGGAAAATGGCAAAGCCAGGAAAAGAATCCAGATCTCCTATGTCCTTGGTCTCGCCAGACCATGCTGCCTCTCGCCAGGATCATCTCATTTTCTGTGTACCGCACCCCACCGAGCGCAATGCTGGTGTTAACAAATCATAGCAACGTTCATCATTAATTAATTCAAACCCCACTTCATGGAGTCTGCAACTCCCATTCGTGTTCACATGCCCCCACTGAAGAAAATCCCCAGTGACTTCCATGTTATCCCACCCCCCATCACAAAAACGGGAGAGATAGCAACAGAGAGGCAAAATGGACCCAGACAATCAGTAACAGGGAGGATGGCTCCCCTGCTGACAAAGGCAAGGATGGATGAATGAGAAGACTAAGGCAATATTCCCATTGGCTTCAATGGGAGAAGGATCAAGCCCTACAGCAAAATAAAAATAAAAATAAAAAAAAAATGTCTTCAGACCCCTAGAGCAGTGGTTCTCAAACTTTTGGACTATTGACCCCTTTCATATAGCAAGCCTCAGAGTGCGATCCCCCTTACACATTAAAAACACTTTTAAATATATTTAACACCATTATAAATGCTGGAGGCAAAGCAGGGTTTGGGGTGGAGGCTGACAGCGAGGGGTCCCGACCCCCATTTTGAGAATCCTTGCCCTAGAGTCTCTCTCTGCTGCAGACTCCAAAAGGCCAAAATCACGACGGAGAATTCTGCAGGAAACATCATGGCCAACCAAAAGTGAATGAAGAGACCCTACAACCACAGGTGCACATTCTGCACTGTTGGGCAGCAGATAAGCAAGACACATATTCTAGGCAACACTACATCCAGGCCTGTCCCAGTCTTAGGGTCCTTTGGGGAGATATTAGGAAGAAGGCTAAGGACACAATGCATTAGAAGCTGAGGAAAGGCATGCAGGCCCAGATGACAAAGTCCTGTCTTGGCTGGGCTGAATCTCAGGGACTCTGTCTCTCTTTCCAAAGCTCAGTCAGGCCACCATGAAGCAGTTGGCGGCAGGGCCAAGTTGGAAGAGCTGGGATAATCAGAATGAAACAATTATTGGGACACTGGTGACATCAAGGCTGAAAATTAAATTAAATACTTTATTGCAAATCAAGGGGGGATTTTTATCCCAAGGACACTGGCAGATCTCCAGCTCTGGACAATGCGTGGGTGATCCCCTTTGCCTTGAGGGCCCTTTAACAAGACTCAGCTCTTCTGATAGGCTTTTCCACAGCAGTCAGGGTGCATGCTGAGTGACATTCTAGACATGCTAGTTCTGCAAATGTTCTTTTCTTTAAAGTGTTGTAACACCGACAGATCCTGGTCGTTGTTGGGCGGGATCGAACCTGGGACCTCCAGAGCTTAGTGCATGAGCCTCTACCACATGAGCTAAAAGCCAACTGGCTGTTAACTAAGGCTGTAGAGCAGACTCATTTTCTCTCCCTCTCTAAGCGGTCTCAATGCCGAGATGGGACAGAACACCACACCCAGAAGGTGTGTGGGTTACACTGTATTTCATAAACAGTTTTAAAAAAAACAGCAACAGCTTGGGGTGAAGTACAAACTCAGAATCCTCCAATTATAAATGGTCTGCCCAAACACATGAAAGAGAAGCCAGTTTTACTGAGTATTTACATGTTGGAGATACACCTGGAAGCCTGATGCTTTCTTCTAGTACATCTGTACATCTTAGGGTGTTGTCTTGTTTCTAAATCATTTTTTTAATCTGGTGCATCCTAAATGGCCTTTCTTCAGAAACCATATTTTTACCCTGCTAGCATTTCTGCTTTACATACCGAAGCACAATAAAAAAATATCAGAAAGGTGTGTGCATTGCAAATTCCCTCCAGTCCATAACGATGGAGATGCGCCAGGATCTGGAGTCATCTTGCTCTCTAAAGAGAAGGGAGGAAATCCACAAACCAAGCAGCAGCAGGAAGAACAGTGTAGCGGACATGCCAAACCAGCAGAAAAAACCCACAGAAACTGGACTTGTTTTTGGCTTAATTGGCTTGTGAGTTGCTTGTTGGCTAGTTTTTGGCTTGTAGCTTGTTGGGCTTGTAGCTTCTTTTTTTGTGGGGGGATCGGCTCCTGGCAAGCAGGGGTGCACAGCAGGCCTACCACAGTCCCAGACTGCACGCCGGGGGGGCGGGAAATCTAGTCACAGAGGGTTGGGGTTCTTAGGGATTGGCTTGTTTCAGCCTTGTTTTGAAATGGGATTAGCTTGATTTCTGGCTTATTGTGAAAGTCAGGGTGCTTATTTACCACGTGAAAGTAGCTGTATGTGCAGAGCATGGGCTGCTCTGGAGAAAACATTGCAGCTTCTTGGAATCCTAATGTGGGACCCTTGGTAGCTTTAATTACCTGAAGAGGTGGGGGGAGTGGGGTGGGAGCATGTCTTGTAAATTCCACTGCAATCAGCAAAAACCACCCAGCATAACTGGTTTTAGATGACCTGTCAATGTCTCATTACAACAGAGCCACACCTTGGACAGAGACCTGAAGAGTATATAGGGGTCAGGAGTGTGTTTGAGGTCCCTCCCGTCTGTGTCCACAAAGGATTTTCTGTACAAAGAACAGGACCATAGGAATTAGACTGGCTCACACCAAGTGTCCAGCTAGACCTCTGGGGGCTTGTCTACGCTTGAAAGTTAATTCAGGTTTGTTTAAAGCACAATAGCTATTCCTGAATAACTCCATACATGGACTCTCTTATTCCAGAATAAGAGCGCCGTATTCCTGTTTAGCTTGACCCAGTTTCAGCTCTACCAGAGTAAGGCACTCTTTACTCTTACTCACAAATGGAATTATTCAGCACTAGCAACTGCAGAGTAACTCCATGTCTAGACACACAGTGGCCAGGGCCAGTTCCTTCATAGGAAGGTGCAAAGATATTTAAGAACTCAGTGCTCCGGCTTTTATAATACAAACTAATATAATAGACCTTGCATTTCTCTACCCCGTTTGTCAGAGTCTCTTAGGCAACAGTTAACTAACCCTCACAAGCCCCTCTGTGAGGCAGGGAAGTATTATCCCCACTTCGCAGATGGAAGTTGGGATTTTCAAAAGGAACCTGACGCTTGAAAATCCCAGATGACGAAACTGAGGCATGAGGAGCTCAGGTCACTTACCCAAGTAAGGTCTATGAGAGACCCAGG